GTGCAAGGCGGGGAGGCTCCGTCGCCCATCACAAGCGCGGGCAGAGCACTTGCTGGTGCCCCGTCGGGAGGGGCGGCGGAAGGCGCTCGGACCGGCAGGACCGCGCAAACGCGGCCCGAAAGCGTGGTTTTTTGTTTTTTTGTTTTTGCCTCTGCAAGGATCTCCCTGCCTTTGGGGAAAGCGGAGGGTCCCCCCTCCCCCCCTCCGCCCACTCCAGCTCCGCTTCTTTCCAGTTTCTACCCGGGCGAGTGGTCGGGAGATCGCCTGGCTAGAGGGCGGTTTTAATTTTCCCTCCAAAGAGGCAGCCGTCGTTATCCTGGTGCGGCGGAATAAAGGAAGTTTTGCGGGAAACCTTTAAAACCATCACGTGTCCTCGGACACCAATTTTGCGCTCGCTCTCTGGGCCTCAGGTTGGCGACTACGCGCCCCACAAGGCAACGCAGCGGGCGGGGGCGGGCCTTTTCTTTGGCCACGCCCCCTGCCCCTCCGCTTTTATGAATGGGAAGGCAGTTGGAGTCAGATTTCGCTGAGCGAAAGGGCAAGGAGGGGCAGCCGAGTCCCGCCTCTTACCGTATATTAGGCGGAGCTCGATTGGACGGCTTGGAGGCCCACGAAGAGGCGCCCAGCGAATGGCAATCGTTCTATTTTTCGTGCACCCCCCTCCCCTCGCAACTGTAAATGCACGGTGGGGGGGGTCACCTCATGTTGGCAAGAGGAGGAAAAAAAGTTACGCTTCAGAGAGTCAGGGTGGGACGGGGCTAGATGGGCAAAATTAAGACGGCTGCCGAATACACTCCTTTTCTTATAAACCCCTTTGGGGAAGGGGGGGGAGCCAGTACTACAAAAGTAGTGCTTAACTTCAGCGGTTGTCTGCATTATGAGGCATATGCAGCATTCGAGTCAGTAAACCAGCAAAGACAACCAGAACTTTAACTGCTATATTTTAATGTGAGCTTTTGTGGATACGTCTACTTCCTTAGACATAAAAGGAACCAACTTCAGTTTTCAGTTACACACCAGTAATTCAAGCTATGCTGGTGATACCCTATGACTGAAAGAAGGCAATGGCGACTTGAAACAACTGATGAGGGGGGGGGGAGTGCAGAAGCAGGGCTAGGCATGGCTTATTTATTTTTTTTGTATTTGGGGGGGGTCTATTTGGCCCATCATGTTCTGTGCTTGGAGTTCTGCCTGACAGAGATTCATTTGGGATAGAGGCCTCAACTGGAAGCCATTTAAGACTGAACTAGGCCTAACAACTCCACCCAAGATCCTTGTTCCTGCTGAGAGCTAGCTTTCTGAACAGGACATTTGGTAGAGCTCGGCCAAGCTCGGCCTCAAGACCTTCCTGTTGTATCCCTAGTTACCATATAGGGATGTGAAAGCAGAATAGTGAAGAAAGCTGAGAAAAAAATCGATTTATTTGGGATGGGGTACTGGAGGAGAACTTTGCAGATGCCATGGATTAGGAAAAATGTGTATTCTAGATCAAATCAATAATGCTCTGTGGTGTGGTGATAGAGTAGTGGACTAGGACTCAGGAGACCTGTCATGGAAACTCACTGCGGTGTGTGTTGGGAAACTAAAATTAAGTCCTTAAATACCTCACTTACATTGAAAAACCTTTTAGGATTGTTATAAGTCAGTTTTGACTTGGTAGCACATAACAACACCAGATCAAATCAAGCTGTGACTCTCCCAAGAAGTAAAGATTACTAGGCTGAATGTGTCATGCTTTGGGCACAACACGAGAAGACTCACTAGAAAAGGCAGTAACACTATAACTAGTTGAAGGAAACATGAAAAGGGGAAGAAAAAAAATATTAAATGAACTGACTTAAGAGAAGCCACAGACTTTAGTTTGCAAGAGCTGAACAGAGCTTGACAAGACTTTCTAGAGGTCACAAATTTATGGAGTTCATTGTAAGTCAAAAGGAACTTGACAGCATATAACAATAGCAAATCAAAATCCTGCCAGGCTCATCTGTATTGTCATACAGCAACATAATACCTGTAAGGAGAAAGGCAACACTCAGAGAATGGTGTCAGCTGATGTCTCACAGGTTTCAGCCAACCAAGTTCTTTGAGGCAACTTAAAATTCCCAGCAAGAGCTTGCTTCCTTTTGCTTCTCTCTCTTCACTGTGAGTATAACCAGAGCTATAATAAACTGGTTTGCTTAAGACAGAGGTGTAAAAACTCTATTTCTTCTTGGGCCGCATGGGCATTATGGTTGCCCTCAAAGGGCCAATTGTATCTGTAAGACTATATAAATGTATCTACTATTTATCACATTAAATAGTGAGGACTACATTTCCCAAGCAGGGTACACCAGCCAAGCAGCTGCATTTTCTGACTCTTTGCTGCTTGGAATGCTGGGATTAGAAGTCCCGCTGGGCCCATTCCCAGCATCTTTGCCAAGCATTATGGGTGACTAAGTAAGCGCGACGGCCACATGAAATGGCCCGGTAGGCCAAATTTGGCCTGCGGGCCTTGAGTTTAACACATGTAGTTTAAGAGATTATGATTCTGTTTCACTGTGCTGCATTTTAAAAAACCTTGCATATGTTTTGTCTGTTCCTTGCTTCTTCTTCTTCTTGCTTTGAACATGTAACTTTTCCCCTTAAAATGTAGTATACAGTGGGGTCTTGACTTGAGAACTTAATCTGTATTGGAAGGCGGTTCTCAAGTCAAAAAGTTCTCAAGTCAAATCTGCATTTCCCATAGGAATGCATTGAAAACCATTTGATCCGTATCTGCTCTTTTCCGTCCATAGAAACTAATGGGAAGCTGCTATTCCGCCTTCGACCACTAGAGGGGGATATTTTGTTTCTTTTTTTCTTAGGTCAAGAAAGGTTCAGGGAAGGCAGGGAAGACTCTTTGCTGCTTGGAATGCTGGGATTAGAAGTCCCGCTGGGCCCATTCCCAGCATCTTTGCCAAGCATTATGGGTGACTAAGTAAGCGCGACGGCCACATGAAATGGCCCGGTAGGCCAAATTTGGCCCGCGGGCCTTGAGTTTAACACATGTAGTTTAAGAGATTATGATTCTGTTTCACTGTGCTGCATTTTAAAAAACCTTGCATATGTTTTGTCTATTCCTTGCTGCTGCTTCTTCTTGCTTTGAACATGTAACTTTTTCCCTTAAAATGTAGTATAGTTTAATTCTTTCTTGGATTCCCAGTGTGGTATAATGGATAGAGTGACAGATTAGGACTCTGGAGAACAGGGTTTGAATGCCCATTTGGCCATGGAAATTCACTGGGGGTGTGAAACCACTCCTGAAATATCTCACTTACCTTGAAAGCCCCTTTAGGGTTGTTATAAATTAGTTGACATTTAAAACTATGGAGCTATATGAAATATAGGTAAAATTAATATAGGTTTAAAATTAATTTTAAAATAAAATTCCCTCTAATAATACATCTTGGAAATGCATATTTTGAGAGGACGGTGTATTTAATATTTCCAAGCAGCAGATATGTGAAACTGTGGGTACTGATTCTGCAGATACAGCGATCCTACTGCATCACAAGGAGATCAGGAGTGTGGTTTTTTTAAAAAAAATCGTAAAGCTCTTCTACAATTCAGTGATATTCAACAAGTGGTCCTGTACCTAGTTTCATAGGGATGGTTAACATATGACCCTAGTTAACACTGCTCCTTTGTGTGCCCCCAGGGTTCTCAGTGCATGCAGCAACCCTTGCCACTGCATCAGAATTAATTGGCACAAAGTCTGTTGGCACATTGGTTAAAGAAAACCAACAGACCTTTCCGCCTTTGCCTTTTCCTTTTAAAAAAAACACACACCTTTTTTGTCTTAAGATAAGGCACATAAGGCAGACATGCCCTTTTTGGGAGTGAAATAGTGCTACAGGAAGTTCCTAGAAGTGCTTCTCATATGTCTTGTTTTGATGACTCTCTGTTCATTGCTGCTGGAGACCACCAACTTTGGCTGTTTAGGAGTGGTGGGGTAATTCAGGAATAGTAGTCCACAGTGGGTTTTGAGTGACAACTTGATCTCACAATGCGAGAAAAAAATAATTTGATGAACAGAAACTGCCATAAACATTAATATTTGTAGGCAAGATTTATTATTTATACATGTTCAGACATTAAGCTATTGCAGTCTTTTTCATAAACATAACTCCGATATCTCGCTTTCTTTCATTTTTTAAATATCTTTCATCTTTGGTCATTTGGCAGACATTCCAGATCTATAACATTTTTGCTATACATCCTTTGAACCCACAGTTTAAACTGTTTCTGTATTTTTCATATTTTTTCCAGCAAAAATTAAGCTTTATGGGTACAAATAAATAGATACTTTTGATTTCTTGGTTCATATAAACAGGTATTTTCATAAAAGCCTCTCTCCAATACTCTCTGAATATTTATGGCAGAATAGCCCTTCCTTTTCTTCCTATACATAAGAAGATAACATTCTCCTGATTGCCCTGAGATCATTTACCCAACTGTATAATCTCCTGTTGTTCCATATTTCTTTGGCAATGGGCATGTTTTAATATACTGAAATCTTTTCAGGGAATACCCTATTACCAAAATTTGTAAGGAAACATTCTATTTGTGCAGATAATGCTAGATGTACTTTTAATGCCAATTCTTGTTTTCTAAAATATATCTCTGTAATAGTCGTGCAGCAGCAGTCCTTAAGAACTCATCCCTTGACGTTCCAACACTCATATAGGTATACAAATACATACAATTATCTTAACATTCAGCACAGCTATAGTCACATTAAAAAAAAAGACACAAATGCTCACATGATAGTCATACCAAACATTTCCATCACAGTAATTTTCCCTTTCTATAAAACTGAACTGGGATAGGGCGTTGCTTGAAAAGCTATCAGGAGGCACATGTTGAAGAGGGAGCTTACAGTAAACTCAGTGAGCATGGCTGTTACTTGGTTTTACAGCTTTTTAGAAAGGGATACTATGTGATTTTTTAAAAATAATAACAGCACGTTAATGTAAACATCTGAAACAACTTTACAGAATACAGACAAAGTTTTTCAACACAGACATTTGTTGAACATTACTTGCACATAAGGCCTCTAACACTAAGTAAGCAGCATAATGTTCTTCTCAGCAGCAGTGTACTTGTCACCTAAAAATATACTGGAAGAAAGCACAAATTCTGAGAGAATATTTGTTAGTACAGTGTAGCCAATATGAGACAAAGATACATATGAAAAATGCATGTCTCAGTTTATCTTAGTAAACTGATTAAGCAATAACAGACTTATTTTGGGCTGCCAGACTGCTGTTGTCTTTAGGTCTAAATTTTACGCTGGATCTTAAAAAGAAAAGAAAAATAACAATAGACATATTTTCAGTTCTCATTATGGCTTGCTAAAATGGATTCAGTTCCTGACAATAAGGTGGTGACAGAGAAACAAAATTTCACGCACACTGATCTTTATATAATGAGTCACAATATTTTCTCAAAGTGTGATTGAGTGAAATACTTATCACACACTCATCTCTTTACCCAAACTAGAAATGTAATTACTGACATTTGGGTAAAAATCTCTGTAAAATAGGTATATTGTAATCTTGTTAGCAACATCCTTATTTTGTTATCATAGTCAATGCACACCAGACACCAATGAAGCTAACTGAATCCTAAAACCTGAAACAAGGAAAGCTTCAGTCTCCTGAGACCACAGAAGTTTGTAAGTTGTGTCCTTTATTTAAAAAGTGGTTGTTGGTTAAAATAGTTTATTTCTAGTTCAATACGATATCCGAGAGAGGAACCAATCCAGCACACCTATACTGCAGAACAAAATCTTCTGTAGCTGTAAGTCTAAGAAAAAATGTAGCAAATCTATTTCAGTTTGCCAGAAGATCCACAACCTATTATATAATAGTTTGCCTAGTGCAACTGAGTGTGCAGAATATCAAATAACCGTACTGACCACCACCATGTCATTATAAGCTAATTCACTGAGCAGAAGGGAGGTGTACTAGGAAAGGGAAATCTGCTTTCTGAACAACAGCATCCCACTTTCTCATGAAAGTCACACTGAAACCAACGAGAAGGCCACCTTTTCAGAATAAAAAAATATAAATTTACTCAATAACAGCTACATTTTCTGTAAAAAAGAATAACAAAAAGTATCAGAAGTGGTGAAAACTAAGAGGAACAATAATGACGTATTTTGATTATGCTATATCTTTTTCCTGCATAGCTTTAGAAACCACTCCCAACTATCTGTGATATGTAACTTTAAATGTCATCTCATAAAACAATGTTTTAGAAACCATATACAGTATATGGCTGCCATAAGAAATCCATCGTAGAAACCTTTAAACATGAACTAAATTATGTCAACGTAATGATGGCAGAATAAAAGGATAATTAAATCCTTGGAAATTAATGGGTACATTCATATTTCATTTAGTCTAATTACAAATGATCTGTGATAAGGTACACACTTGAAATAGAGGTATAATTCATACGCCTTACCTTTTTTTTACACTAAATATCACAAATAATGGAATTTTACATAAGTGTACATGGATCTAAACCTTTTTATGTCACACACCACCAATACATAGAAACTATTATACCCTACATATGTCCTGGTTGTTTTGTAGAAGATGGGTAATGGAAAGATATGGATTAATACATAACTGGAACTACAAACATAGCAGATAAGTGTAATGAAAATTGCATACTTTCTCTCTGTTTCTCCTTCTGTTATGTTTCAGAATATTTAGTATCATTTACCTCATTTACCACACAGTTGTCCCAGCTCTCCCCACCTATGCATAACATTACCATTTGTTCAGTGTAGTTCACACTTAATTTTCAAGTGAAGGAAAACGACTTACTTGTTAAGTCAAACTGTACCTCACAGTGTATAATTGCAAACAAGGGACAGAAATTGCCCCCAAATATCCCTCTGAATTTTGACTAGGGTTTCTGTAGCTCTACAGCTCGTATTTATCTGGAGCTTGGAAATTTAAATTCCTAGACTCCCTTAGCATACCCGCTGAGGGATTCCAAACTCTCATAATTATGTTTACCACAAACAGACAAATATGGATACATTCCCTTTCTCGAACTAAAACAAATCTTAGGATATCATATTAACGTGGCCAGCCTCCAAATAAATACTTCTCTTTTCCTGCCTTACATTTACTATAGTGATTTATTTAACAGTGAAACTGAGAAGTATAAATGATCCAAGACACTGTGACTTAGGGTGCGGTCAGATGATGCATGTCTGATTGCACTGGAAAGGGTTGCTTTGTAAGAAAGTGACCCTTATGTCTGTTGGGGAATTGCTATGGCCTGGCCCCAAAAAAAGTCATAGCCCTACAGTTGGACCATAAAGGTCCTGCTCAGGCACCATTCAGGATCAGGCTAGAGCTCAATTTCCTGTACGTTGTGTGATTGCCAGGAAATAGATCACACTGAACTACTCCATAAGTAGTCCAAAATGCAATCTATTTCTGTATGCAATCACACCCTTAGTTCATAGCCTAAGTCTATTTCAAGTTATTCTTCTGTTTATAGTGTGCCCTGAGTCCCACTAGATTGGTCCAAAGGTGTGGCCTACGTATTTTCTGAAATATATTAGCCCCCAGATACCAAACAAACTAGCAGACAGTATTTTTCATTGTTTATAAAGTGCTCTTGATAATTACAGAGGGATAAGCAGACTCAAAAAAAGATCTCGCCTTCCTTTTAAGAAACTACAGTATCCCTCCCGACTTAAACATGTGACTCATCCAGGTCAATGTCAGTGTGCCCCACCTCAACATGTGTGAAACTGAACTGGCTAGAAAGAAGGGGATTCTCCATCCCATTATCCTCACTGATATGAAGGACAGTGTCTTCATGCTGCAGTAAACTGGTGGTCTCTAGACCTGTAAAATCCTCTGTGTCAGAAAGCTGAGCGGGTGGAGGGGTATCATGTGCTTGCGCTGGCTTCTGCTCTGGATCCTCCTCTCTCTTTTTATCCTTTTCAGCCAGAAGTGTTTCTGTCTGAAATGCAGAAAAGTTAATGCAGATCAACTGTAATTTGTAATTACATTTCCAACGCTTGAGTATCGAGGGGTTATAATATCAATGCACCTGTAAACATAGCTCAAAAGCAGAATGGAACACAGGATGGACATTGTGAAAATCCCTTGTGGGTTGGTACAGAAGAAGAATCCCAAAAGAAAGAGTCACATCTGCCCAGATGTAAGAATAGTCGTGTTAACTTAAAGCTTAGCTGACAAGCTTCCTCCTCTCGTCCCTCCTAGTTTCCTTTGTTAATGAAGTGAAAGATTTAAATCACTGGTTCTTAACCTTGGGTTACTCAGGAGTTTTGGACTGCAACTCCCAGAAGCCTTCACCACCAGCTGTCCTGACTGGGGTTTCTGGGAATTGCAGTTCAAAAGCATCCGAGTAACAAAGGTTAAGAACCACTGATTTAAATAACTAGAGGAGATAAACCAAACGAGTAGAAGGATTAAACTACAAACTGGAACTATAGAAATACCCGGAATATGAACACTCTTTGAAGGGAAACCTTTCCTTCAGACATACATAGTAGTGTCTGCACAGAAAATTAAACTAATTCTTGGGTGGGAGTGGATGCCTCATCTGCATTAGTCCAGAATGGCACTACAGAAGCTACAGTAAGATTAAGGATGAAATGAAATCATCATCATCCTAATCAGTAGTGGTATTATTTCTATTCACAGAAACATACTGGACTGTGCAAATAAAGCATACAAGGCATCAGGATTAGTGAGTTACAATTGTTTTGAGACACAGCAACCCCCCAAAAATAAAATAAAACCAAACGTGTAACATCTGTGCAGAAAATAATGTAACGTGCTGTTGGCAAACATGAACAGATATGTTCCAGAGACAGGAGCAAATATCCTTCTTGACTTTCCCATTATGTTACCTGACTAGCTGAGGCTTGACTGTGAAGGTCTGCCACAATAACAGCAAGGGAGGGAGTTGTGGGAGATTTACTCGCAGCCTCCTGCTTGCCGCCTTCTGCAGGGCTGTTCCTTTTGCTGCTTTGTTGCTGGGCTCCAATAGGTGCCGGATCTGTTTTCGAGGTTGATGCCTCCGACTGAGCTTCAGTGAAGGTTACAGACCGCTTTTGATCCACTGCAAGATTGTGCCAGAAGTAAGAGAGGATGGACAAGTACACAAACTCGAAAGTACACTTGAATGAGGCTTACCAGTATACATGCAAAAGTAGTTCCTAACCTTTTCTACTGGGGGAAGGTTATCAAAAGCATTTTACTTCTATTCTGGAATTACTTCAGAGGCTGAAAAGATGGGCTTTCATCTACCCTTTTGTTTTCAATGAATCACATTTTTTTCTTCTCACAATAGCAGATGGAAAAGGCATCCTTCAAATCTGAAGCCCCTGGAGCAGTTTGCATAAGAAAAGTGGTCCAAAATTTCAGTAGAGAGGTTTAAGAAACTCATTCATGGTTACAGGAAGTGATTGATTTCAGTTATTTTGTCCAAAGGAGGTGCTAACAAATATTAAGTTAAGGGTGCCAGTAATTTTGTCAAGTGCATTTTTGGGTTTCTGTGTGGGATTGTATCAGATTTGACTTTTCTTCTCTGTTTTGTGTTGTTCCAATGCAAACCAAAGAAATGAGCATGTGAATACCAAAACATTTGCAACTGCAACAATTTTCTGAGAGAAGGGTTGCATTTTCTGACAGAATTGCAAGGGTGCCGGTATTTTCGGCCATGACTGTAGCTTCTGCTTGATTTGATCTAGGACCCATTTGTTTGTCTTTCTAGCAGTCTGGGTTATCTGCAAAGCTCTCCTTCAGCACCACCGTTCAAATGAATAACTTTTTTTTTCTTGTCAGCTTTGTTTCCTGTCCAGCTTTCACACCCATATATAGTGTTTGGGAATACAGGAGTGTGGATGATCTTGGTCTCCAGTGACACATCCTTACTTGATTATCTATCTTTCCTAATTTCTTTATTGTTGCCTTTTCCAGTCCTTCATATTTCTTGGCTGCAGTCTCCATTTGGATTGATGATTGAACCAATGTATACAAAATATCTAGCTACAGTTTCTTCATTGTCAATGCTAAAGTTCTGCAGTTCTTCTGTAGTTGTGATTTAGTCTTCTTCATGTTCAGCTGGAGTCCTGCTTTGGTGCTTTCTTCTTTCACTTTCATCATAAGTCATTCCAAGACATTGTTGCCCCTGCCAGTAAAATAGTGTCATCTGCATATTTTACATTATTGATGTTTCTTCTTCCACTTTTCACTCCTTCCTTTGAATCTAGTGTGGCTTTCTACATGATATGTTCTGCATACAGATTGAGCAGATAAGGAGATAAAACACACCCTTCTCTGACATCCTTGCCTATAGGAAACCATTATGTCTTTCCATATTCTGTCCTAACAATAGCTTCTTGTCCACAATACAAATTATGCATCAGGACAACCAAATTCTGAGACTCACCCACTGATTTCAGTACAACCCATAGTTTCTCATGATATATACACAGTAAGGGGCTTTCTGTAGTCTATTACGCGTAGACTGATCTGAAATTCTGGTGCCCTCCATTAGCCAGCAGATACTTGCAATATGATCTCAAGTGCCTTTTTCCTTTTTAGAAATCCAGGTTGAACATCAGTCATTTCTCACTCCATTTGTTGCAATGCCTTGAGCATCACTTTGCTTGCATGAGAAATTACAGCAGTGGTCCTATAGTTACTGCATTCCTTGACATCTCCTTTCTTGGAGGCTGGAATATGTATTGTTTTCAAGTGCCTTTTCCTTTTTAGAAATCCAGGTTGAACATCAGTCATTTCTCACTCCATTTGTTGCAATGCCTTGAGCATCACTTTGCTTGCATGAGAAATTACAGCAGTGGTCCTATAGTTACTGCATTCCTTGACATCTCCTTTCTTGGGGGCTGGAATATATATTGTTTTCAGTCTGTGGGTCATTGTTTTGTTTTCCATATTTGTTGACATATTCTTGTTAGGATTTCAATAGGATTTCAATAGAGTCAGTCTCCATGGCTTGAGATACTTCTATGAGTATTCCATCTCCCCCTGGTAATTTATTTGTTCCTAGTTTTTTCAGAGCAGCTTTCACTTCACTTTCTAAAACTCCAGGTTCTTCGTCCTAGGATTGCTCTTCAAAGGAGTCTGTCATCCTTTGATTTAATCTTTACTTTGGTCGATATATTTGGGATTGTGTCATCATTGCCAACTATCTTGGAAACCATTAAAAAGAACCTGTGGCCATAGGGATAGGTGATACAGTGGTGCCCCTCTTGATGACAATAATCCGTTCCAGGAAAATCGCTGTTAAGCGAAATCGTCATCAAGCGGAAAAACACACACATTGGAATGCATTGAAAACTGGTCAGTGTGTTCCAATGGGGAAATAACTCATCGTTCAGCAAAGATTGCCCATAGAGAACCACCGATCAGCTGTTTAAAAACGCTGTCTTCCGAAGCAGGGGTCCGGAAAGCAGCCATTTTGAAAAGGGAGGGAAGCCATTTTACGAAGAGAAGCCATTTTGCGGAGCAGGAAAAATCGTCGTTTAGTGAACAAATGGTTCACGAAGCAGGCTCCTAATCGACATCAAGCAAAAAAACCCCATTGGAACCATTGTTTTGCAATCGCAATAGCGATCGCAAAAAACTCATCGTACAGCGATTTTGACATCATGCGGGGTAAGCGTCAAGCGGGGCACCACTGTATAGTTAAGGATATTTTGAGAGGAATGTTGAGAAAGCTAACTGAAACAACACTACAGAAGAAACATTAGACTAAGTTCCAAAAGAGGGAAGCAGGGGAAGTATTTATGAAAAAGCCATTTGAAAAGAAAAGGTTAGTCTGACATTTGTTTACTCACTCATCAGTGGGCCACCTTCAACATTCCACTTCTGCTCATATTTTAATGCCTTGACAGACATCTTTCTTACAGTTTTATAATGCAAAAAGATGTGAAACTCACTCCCCTGAATCAGGGTTCATGTTCAGCAGTCAATTCAGTGAGTCTGAACTTGTTGCAACTGGCAACTGCATTTAGACCACTATCTCTCAAATACTTTACAGATTATAATTTGCTCATTTGTTAATGTGTTTGTTAGTAGAAACAGATGTAAATTTTATTGGTCACACACTATGATATACAGTAAGATAATTGGTTGGTTGAACAGTAACTTTAAAAAAAGGAGAGAGACACTAACCTTGGATACTTTTTTCCTCACCAGTTGGTTTTACTTTTGGCTGTATGCTTCTACGTGTAGTAGAAAGTCGTGCTCCGTGACGACTGCGAGGTTCCGTTTGGGTTTTCTGGCGCGATAAAAGAGGCCTCCTTAACTAGAAAACATATAAGCAATAATGCAGTTCAGTATCATTCTGTTACTTATATCTCCATACAGTCCTCAGGATTCCAGTGGACGCATATGGTTTCATTAATTGTGTGATAAGTTATGTGAACAAAATGAAACCACAATGGATGCAATTAATAGGCATTAGAGGAGTTCCCAAAAGTGAGAGGATCCTCTTTCGTTTTCTAGGACCTTCCTTTCCCCAGCACTGCAGCTCAGCCTGTAAATAAAGATCCCCAAACCTTCTCTGTAGCATTTCTGGGGCACTTAGAGGAGTTTCCATGGAGAGGAGGGAATGTGGAAGTCTGCTTCTTCCAGCTCAGTAGCATGAACCGAAATTTGGATCCAGTCCTCTAAAAGACTGGTTCTTAACCTTGGGTTACTCAGGAGATTTTGGACTGCAACTCCCAGAAGCCTTCACCACCAGCTGTGCTGACTGGGGTTTCTGGGAGTTGCAGTTCAAAAGCATCCGAGTAACAAAGGTTAAGAACCACTGCTCTAAAAGACTATGGAAGTTGATTTTGCCACAATAATCCTTTATCACTGTATTCGTTCTCAGGGTACCTTTTCAGGCTACTTGGGAATATTACGCAGCACAATGTCTAAAATTAATTAAAAGTTAAAACTAATTATATTTGAGTTAACAGTTGACATTCACTGTGATGAAATGGGCTGAAGACAGAATAATGATAGTATTTCTGGATGGTACTTGTTTTAGTTTTTAGAAATTATTAGAACAAGTGCTTCCTTGCGTCCAATCATGCCTAGCATCCGGTGGATGCCGTAGCATAGAAGGTCTTCCCTCCCTACACTGATAGCCTATCTACATCCTAGGAGATGTTGTAGCTTTCAGCAGATCCTAGAGCAGGCTTGTCCAACCTGCGGCCCGAGGGCCGCATGCGGCCCAGGTCAGCTCATAATGTGGCCCAGTGCAATTTTTTTATTTTTAAACAAATTCCAAAGTTTCAAGTTACACTGCCGGCGCTTGCGGCCAGAATGTGGCTGGGGGATGTCACAACAATAGAGGGGGAGAGAGGGAAGGAAGGAGCGGGAGGGTAGGGGAGAGGGGGGCTGCGTGACTGCATTGCGCCATCCCCATAAATAGGTGGACCCCCTCCCAGCCCCATACAGCCACCGGAGTCGAAGCTGGCAGCCTTTGCTGTCTGAGATCACAGCTGTCAGTAAGCGTGCTTGGAGCGGGGCTGCAGAGGGCGGCTAGGGCTGCCCCCCCTGCAGCCCAAACCAAATTTATGTGCGGCCCAAACCAAATTTTCATCTTCTAATGTGGCCCAGGGAAGGTGAAAGGCTGGACACCCCTGTCCTAGAGTATAAGTGTTGAACTCATGGGGTTCTGGGTGGCCAGGGCAAGGTATTTATTGAATTTATTTATTTGTATGTGTACTGTATTTATTGGGATATTTATTTATTTATTGAGGGGGAAATCCATTTATAACTAAAACCATACTGTTCAGACCCATACGATTCAAGGGAGAATGCAGTGGTGTGTTGCAAACAGATCATTTTAGTTTCTTCTATTTTCTTGACATTGCTGCTGCTTTTTACTTGTATTTGCTTATATTTTTGGACAGACATAGCAAAAGCTAGTATGTGTGTTTGCTGATACACAGTGATCCTGATATCATTAGATTAACTTCTTATTATAGCCTTGCACCTGGTTTTCATATCCTGATTGCCAGACATGTTCTCATTCTCATGAATCCTTGCCTCCCTATAATCACACTATTTATTAGTCTGCACTTCCCGCCTACAATGTAGGATAGCTTTGATTGAAAGGTGTTACCTGTATGCCTTAACTTTAGTGCATACATGAACCCAACAGTCTGGACTAGGAAGAATAAGATTTATTTCTGTGTTTATTTTGTCTAGACAACTCAGCTATTAGACTATAGCATCATCCTTTATCCCGGCTTTGATTAGAAAATCTGTTTGAGAACAAGGGAGCTATTGCCTTATTGTTGGGATGGATTAGGTAACCCCCCCCCCTTGATTGAAAAACTCATCCTCTTCCACAGAGAATCTGTCAAGAGTTGTTGTTTTTTTTTAAAAAAAAGGCTCATATGATAAATGAAACATGCACTAATCAATCCTGTTACAAAAATTAGTACAAAAGACATGACACACGTCTGCATGAAACATAGTATGTATAAAATCCCTGGTCACATGCACATCACAGTAACTTGCTAAATGTTTTGCTCATGTGGAAGAGGAATAATGGATCAAAGACTGCCGAGCTCTGATTGACAAGGAGCTGTTGTCTCAAAGATATATAAAACTAGTGCATACGGTAGGTATTGTCTACAGACCCATCCAAATTCCACTGAACAAAATGGAACACATCATTGCATCCAGTAGGTTATCAAAACATTATTTGCTCACCTGTCTCAGACCTCTTTTTCTCCCTAATGGTTGTTGAAGAAGGAGATTATGGTGTCCAGGTTCACTCTGCACACTTGCTACCCTGTTAAGTGTCAAGAGCATGATCACTACTATAGAAGAACTTGAGGCAGAATAAGTTTCTTTGTAAATGTTGCAAGATGTATACGGCACAGTCACATGTAAAGATTCTTTCATCTTTGAAGGCTATTACTGGTTAGCTTTGGGGCTGGGATAGAAGTCATTATATTCAGGGCTAGGCCAAATATTGGTGGTATCCAACTGTGGGAACAGTTTTTTAGCTATGCAATAATGCCTCCCCTCCTCTACAATGGCCACTTTTATACACAGCACGGCAATAATAATGTTGCTTTTTGATTGTCTTAATGCTGGTCTCTTCTGACATACGGGAACAGAAGGAAACATGGATGTTTTCTTTGCAGCTAGATTTGATAGCTACCCATAATTTTGCCTAAATTTACTCGGAACACAGAGAACAAGAAGCACAATTAACAAAGGTATATTTCACATCATGAGCACAGGACTTACAAACAATGTTGCCACAGTGAACTCATGCTTCCAGTCTTAAATATCCTTGCTGACAGTAACTAAAATAAGTAACTGCTAGAAAAAGTATGACTCTATTTTTTTAATAAGTAGATTTAACAAGACTCTCAATTTAAAAATGGAATCAAGAACCAGGCATATTTCACAATTAAAATAGGAATTAATAACCTGTTGCAGCACCCATTTGTTAGCCTAGGCATGTTAAAAGCATTTTTCTAGTTATTCCCCCCCTTTTTTTGTATACGGTGCACACTATCCAATAAGAACACTTCATCTGACAAGCAATGCTTGTCACAGGTCTTGTGACATGAGCTAAGACGATAATTTCTGCAGGGGTTAACACTTAGAAGAGCTGCTTTTCCATTAGGTAAAGGCTAAGTTATGATACATTTTCATTCTGACCTCTGTAAAACTGATGATTAATAAAATTAAATACTACTTAGCCAGCAACTACTTAGCAAGCATGTACTGTTCAGACTTTACAATGAATTGTAATGGTGGCATGTGTTAAATTCAGAAGTATTTTTGATTCTAGCTCATCCTGAGCTTGGGATTTTCTTGTTCATTGAAGCTTCAGGAAATTGAGCCAAGGAACAACTTGAATGGACCACTAAAAGATTGCAGTCTCCATCTAGGAACTTTTAATGTCAGATCCTGCAGCTTCAACATCTAGATAAGAAGATCCTGCATTTTTCGGTCTTTACCTCGCAATTTTGCAATACTTGAAGAATCCTGCAGGACTCTTTTAAGGGTTCAGTAAAGTGATTGTCTACCCTGCTTTTAGATATGCACACAGATGACATAGATGTTTTTTCCCCCCCAAGCCAAGTAATGGAGACAGACTGGTCTATAAACAGCTATAACATCTGGAAGTTTTTCAGAACAATTGTAGCAAATAGTAGTTCTAGTAAACTTGTGTCAGAAGAAACATTCAAGTTTTTTATCTGAGTGCTTTCATACTGCTTTCTTTGTTCTCTGCCTGACCTTTTCCAAAGTGGTCAAAATTTACAGATACCTTTTCTTTCAGATTTATAATTTCTCCAGACAACACTGACTCTATATTTTCCTGGGATTCATAATCTGGAGAAAATATTTGTAATTACATATATTCTGTATGTGTTACTAAAAAACCTGCACTGCCCATTTGTAATGCTAAGGGTTTAATAAAAAAGTAAAGGTAAAAGTTCCCCTTGACATTTTTAGTCCAGTCATGTCCGACTTTAGGGGGCGGCGCTCATCCCGCTTTTCAAGCCATAGAGCCAGCGTCTGTCCGAAGACAATCTTTCCGTGGTCACATGGCCAGTGTGACTAGGGAACGCCGTTTTACCTTCCCACCGAGAAGGTACCTATTTATCTACTCGCATTTGCATGCTTTCGAACTGCTAGGCTGGCGAGGAGCTGGGACAAAGCGATGGGAGCTCACTCCGTTGTGTGGATTCGATCTCACGACTGCTGGTCTTCTGACCCTGCAGCACAGGCTTCTGTGGTGTAGCCCACAGCACCACCACGTCCCTAAGGGTTTAATATAGTGCTATAAATAAGAGTGGAGAGAATAATGACTTGCTGTCAGCTTCACTTACTCTCTGCTCCAAATTCCTCCTCCCAAAATAATGGGATGCTTCCAGGAAAAGCAGAAACAGCATACAATAGCATCATTTAGGATACTGCAGTAATATGTGCCTCATTTGTATTTCTTAATGTCACTCGCTGGGTATATATAATAGCCAAGGTGTTCTTCTAATCCTTCCTCATTTTATTTTAAGTAGGGTGAGCTCACCACATCGACATGCATTGCATACACAATGCAAAGAAAAAAAAATCTCTGATCAATGTGAAGACCCCTTTTCACACAGGATATTCTGGACTAAAAATCCCCTTTCTGGTCATCTGTAATGTTCCACCTTAGGAGAGAACCATGTATAAAACAAAAAATAGATAAAAATAGGAGAGAATAGTACACCGTGCAATGCAAATAGGTAATTTTAAAGCAATGCTTCAATTGAATCCAGAGATTTTTGCAACTGTTTAGTAGGTAGCCAGCTTAAAAATATTTCCTATATGACTCAGAACAGTACAAGTGACTGAAATGTACAGTAGTATTCTGTAGTTGTGAGTAATTTATTGTCTGGTTTTATCTTTATAAATAAAATTTTGCAAGTGGAACAGAAATACGAATTTATTTCAATTTATTGTTAACACTTGGGCTGAACGGTTTCTGACAGATCATTATCCAATAAAAAACTCAAAGGCAGGAGACTTTGCTTTCCTTGTTACACGTACAACTACTCTCTAAGACCTCTGTGCGGGTTTTCCTCATGCACATCACTTGTAGCTACTCATCACATGCACCTAACTTACAAATTAAATCCACTGCTTCTGCTTTTCCTTGTAGTCAGCAGCATGAAAGAAGTGCTGTTTCCATGTCCCCATGGAAGACTTCAAAGTTCTGAAGAGTCTTATTATAGTAATCCTACATCGATTGTTCTATGTTTCTGTTTTGTTACAATGGCCTTTTTGTTACAATCACATTTGCCTTCCCTGAATTGCAGCCGAATAATACAAATCAGTGTAGCAGTTATAAATATTTAGAAAGAGATAGGTGGCTAGGTACTATTGCATAACACCATGGAACTTATTGTATGTATCCCATATAAAGGTGGCCTTGACCTTCAGTGGTGTCCAACCTTGGCCCTCCAGATGTTCTTAGACTATAGCTCCCAGAAGCCTTCACCACCACCTCTGCTGGCCAGGATTTCTGGGAGTTGAAGTCCAAGAACATCTGGAGGGCCAAGGTTGGACACCACTATGACATGCTTGTTCAAAAGGATAGCCCATCCCTGTTCTAGGGTATGCTAGTACTCTTAATTAAAATTGCAGTGTAACACAGTGTAAAGCACAAATATATCAATGGATTCTAAACCAAGGATCTCCCTCCCCGCAGGCACACTGGGAATTATCCACAAAGCTAATTTGTGCCTTTTCATGCTTCCAATATTCTCCTTCCTTCCTTCCTTCCCTCCCTCCCTGCCTGCAGATATTACCAGTGGTAATGGGAATGAGCTAAGCAGAGGGCTTATGTTCCCATATTCCTGATTGATAATTTATTGTAATGAAAAGGTAGATTCATTCATCTGCCAAAAAGCACAGTCTTTGCCCCACACCAATGCTAGGCCTTGCTTAGCATGGGGAAAGAGCCCAGGGAAGCAGCTCCTTCACAAGTCTTGTAATGCAGTGGTCCCCAACCTTGGGCCTCCAGATGTTCTTGGGCTACAACTCCCAGAAGCCTTCAACACCACCTCTTTTGGCCAGGATTTCTGGGAGTTGAAGACCAAGAACATCTGGAGGCCCAAGGTTGGGGACCACTGTTGTAATGCATTGAACTAGGACGACATTAATTAGGCAGATATCACCTGAGGTTGTTCTCACTAGGTGACTTTCACTTTATGTCATCCCATGCTTTAGCAAATGCTCTCATTTATTACTGAACACACACACAGCACAATTTCTAATTTTGGGATAACCTGCATAAGAGCAACTCTCGAACTAATTTTATCTAATAGCCCTGGTTAACAGTGTGACCTATACCAAGTGTGTGTGTGTGGGGGGGGGTGTCGTTTTGGCAGGCAAGCCGCTGTTTCATCAGTCTCTTTTAGGAATGTTACTGTTGTCTGCTGCTGCACTTAATTCATTTTAAAGTTTAATTTTATACAGATTGTTTATGTCACTATAGGTGTCATGTAAGACATACAATTATTTTTCAAAAGAAAGGAAGGAAATTGATAGTGTATTTCAATAAACCAGTGAAGATACCAACTGCAGGCCTCCTTCTGTTTTATCATGATAATAATATTGATTGCAAGTAATGCTGAGCAGTTATTTTCTTCAGTTAAATACAAATACTGAACACCATTATATTTAGTTACCTAAATACTTGTGGCAGTTTTAATACAAATTAATAAATTATGTGAAAACAGCTCCTGTTGGAAGATCTATTATTTGTTCTGAACTAATGTTAAGTTGCCTTTAGAAAAAAGCAAGTTTCCCCACTGTGCAATCCTAGCCGTGTCTATTCAAAGCTAAGCCTCATTAAGCTCTGCTTCCAGGCTAGTGAGTGTAGAATTGTGGTTTTAATCATTTGTACATTGTGTACATATGTTTCATGTTTCAAATCCCTACTTTTTTTCCCCAAATGTCACCCCATTACTGAACAGAGACTGATCCATCTGCCAAGGCAAGAGACGCAAACACAAAGGACTTCATGATTCATGAGAATGATCCATAATGATACATCCAATGACACATAACTTCCCGCTCTTAAAATCTAAAAATCTATGACAAAACAAAACAAACAAGTAATTGACACAATAATCCCTCTCAACATTTCCTCATCTGTAGAGAACACTAATGGAAGGAATAATTGTCTTAGAATCATTGACACAAGAGCGATGGTTTCCTGTAATGAAGCGAGGACTGTGGGACAATATGAGCCTTCTCAGCTACTGAGGGTCAGTTGAGAGGTATCAACACAACAGTAAGAATGATTAAAATGGCTGAGCTGAGTGTTAAAGGTGCAGTCCTCCCTTTTATATACTCTATGTATACTTTAAAAGTATAGCAGGGTTGCTGCTTGTGCACAAGTTTTCTTGATCTCAAAGTAAATAGGGTGATATGCCGTAGCTGAACCTGCTTTCTTGAAAAGAAAGTGTAGCTTTCTTGAAAAGATGATGATATAAAGCCAGATAAATAAAAAAAGTAACACGAAGGCCACTTTTCTTAGGACAGGCTTCAGAATTATTTTAACAAGCAGAGGCAGCAGTGCTAGCTGTGAAAATCTACCTCTTCATGATCAGCATACAGGAATCTACCTCTTCATGATCAGCATACAGGAACAAAACTACAGATTTCTTTTAAAACAGCATCTCTCAGTTATGATGCCACTATGAACAAATACAGAGGTCATATTTTTCAAAGCCTCTAATCAGTATGTAACACATTAATTTAATACTGTGGGATATACACAATATTCCTACAGTAAAAGCCTATGAAGGAAGAGCAAGGAGAAATCTCACAGCTAATAGGTTTGGTTTGCTGTGTTTTTGTTCTATACTGATTATGATTTTGATTTGTTTGCCAGTAAAGGTTGACAGCAATCAGAGCTCACAACTGAAATAGGGTTGCTACACCTTTGACTTGCAGGCCTGATCATTAATGAGGAACAAGAGACAGGAATGGAGAGAGATAATAAAGGATGAATAAGAAAGAGCGAGAGAGAAAAAGAAAGAAAGAAAGTGAATACAGGGAGCAGATTGTTCCCAGCACAGACACGGACATACAGGTAGGGTAAACACAGTACCTAGAGAGGCTGCCCTCAGCGGCCAGGCCTTGGGAGTCATCGAGGACATTAGGTTCGCTGCAAGAGGGGCAGGGAAGTGAAGCATTTAGGGAAGAAAATAGGTTTTTAAAGCATGCAATAGTCTCTGTTCAAAGAAAAGAAGTATCAGAAGGATAGTAAAGGGGGGGGGAGAGAGAGCAAATTGTTTGGCCTCAAAACTCTCTTTCAGAAGAGTAAGAACCAAGGACTTCTTCAGTCTAAAGTACTGCATAAGGATAGAAGTTGTGATGCATAGAATCTACAGAGTTACACAATCTGTCCCAATTAAGTGGCATACCAGTAATAAGAAAAAACTGAAAGCAAAGATTCTTCCACTTCTTTTCCCCTTCTATTTACTGGTGGTTCATTTTAAGACACCGCTTCACCTTCATCCAGTAGCTTTATTCAGCTTCTTACTCAACTTCAGTTTGCAGAACAGCATTGCCTTAAGGAAGCAGGAGTGAAGAAACCTCAAACCTTCTCAACTATTTTCAGGCCAGGCAACTCCCTGCTCTAAATTTTACCTAATGATGAAGTCCACTCAATGCAGCAATGACTACATCCTTCCACAAGTAAGTATCCAAATAGTCTCCTCGCATACATCTGCATAGGTGCCACCGGTTTCTGTAGGCTAGGATCTATGGAACGGGGCACTAGCATTGCACTCTTAAGACCATGCTTATCATGATCCTGGAATTTGGAACCTTTCCTTTTGATGTTTTTTATTGACTTTCTATTATTGTTATGTTTTGTTATGTCTGCCACCCAGTATAGTAGCTTCACTACTACTTGGGCAGGATAAAAATGTAAATAAATATGTCAGTATTGGAGCACAGATAGGAATACTTCCAGCCCCATTTCCCTAACTGTAACAATGCACAGAAAAACATCCTGAATTAAAACATCATAGCAGTTCATGTGTCTTTAAGCTGCTTCTTCCTTAGCTCCAGGTGTGATGATAGGATAGTAATCTGTACCAGTCCACGGTAAAACCATGACAGTCCTCTATGGCAGAAGGGGACTTCAGTCCACCCAGTTCTTCCAAGATGGCTACCACCACTGAAACCTTTGCCCCTTCTTTGGCTCTCCATGCCACTCCCATCTTGCCCAAGGGTCATATATGTCAGTGCTGCCAGATCACTTAACTGGAGGGAATGCTGACGGTTTGAGTTGGAGGAAGAAGATTTTGCCTATCTCAGGACCTTCTGCCTCCTTGAAACACCCTTCCCTCTATGGACGAGAGAAGGGTGTTTCATATTACAGTAACATATCAGAACTAAAACAGTCCCAAAAATAAATGGTTGCATGTTGTTTCTTTCAGAAATTAATCAACCATATTTTATTGATCCATCTACTCATTAAATGTGCTCTGAACTTGACAAAGATTTCCAAATCCATTACTTTCCTCTACACACATTTCTAAGTGAATGATGCCATATCTTGCAAGTACAATTTGAATCAAAACATTACTGAAAGTGCAAGAAAAAAGTGTTGAAGAAATCAGATGTAATCTAGGCAGGTCTTAAGAAAAGAAAGATTATGGCCCAGATATCACAACTGCTCTGCTTCATGATAAGGAATACAAATCAAGCATTGCTTCCACTGGCCACATCTGATAAGATGCAGAGGATCTCTTGCATTAATTAAAATATAACTAAGAATACTAACATAGAGGAAAGTGTGTTTTTAGCCCTTATTTTGCTCTGGGCAATTTTCCAATGAATATCATATCCCTCCCCCAAAGCTGCTACTTGAGGGGAAATAAAGATGCATCCATGTATATTTACCAGCCCTAAAAGTAAGCCTGCACTGTTTCATGTGATGATACAAATCTAGCTGTGTTATGTTTCTGCCTTATTTTGGCTCTTCCTGCTTTGATGTTTCACTGTGCCTGGGCCATTAAGAAGCATGTGCTCTAGCACACTGAGAATGTATCACTATATGAAAATATTGGCCTACTTTATCAATAGTAGACCCAGTGCATGAAACTGAAAGTTACATAAATCTCAATGATTCAATGGATTTACTCTAGATAATATTACAGATTGAATTTAGATCATGATCAATTGCTTCTCTAAATCCACTATAACAAAACAAGATTGGGAACAAGAATGGGTGAGTACTGGAGATCGATGCTCATATAACTTCCACTGCTTGTCGATGATCATGGAATTTAAATGTTGAAATGCAGGCTTCTTGAAAAACAGGAGGTGGAATTACACTGCTTTTCTATTAGATTTAAAACCCCATCTCCTCCTGCTCTATATGCACCAGGAATATAGGCAACATGTCCTATGGTTACCTGTGCAACAGTTTGTGCTATCTAAGGATGGACTTTTTAAAAAAGATCCCATACGAGTATGTTGGGATGTTACTCCTGAGCAAAAAAGGAAAAAAAAATTCCAAATAAAAAATAAAAGCTATTTTAATGTAATGCATTTGAGGCTTGTGGTCCAAGCAGGGTGTGTATGATTTGAGAAGGGGAGCACCCCACTCTGCTATTTTGAGATGATCTCCCTATGCTCAAGCCATTCCTGTTGTACCACATACTGTAGCTGAGACCTAATGTCAAGGCTAAATGTCACTTGATCTTTAAATATGTTTTCAAGTGGCACACACCAGCGTGTCTAATAATCTGTGCAAGTCCAATTAGTTCAGAAAGCAAGCAATTCAACTATGAGACTTCCAACATAGTTCAAGCATTCACACAGCCTCTCACCATGCTAATTGTGTGCACATTGTTATTTTATGCTGCACTTAAAAATATCTTCAACTATGGATGTAAACAGAATGCATTTGTATGGCCAAAATCAAATTAGTTATGCCTGCAAGCATCATGGAACACCATGACATCTGAAGAAGAATTACCTCAAGTTAAGACATCAGCATAGGTACTCTCTGTTGCACACAGGGTCACATGTCTCAGCATGAAACAAATAATGTTCACACTACTTTTTTCCTAATTGCAATTTGCCTCCAAAAGTTGCATCAATTTATGTTATACCAGCATAAAATCTCAGCAGGATTTTTGGCCCATTTTAAAAATGTGCTGGGAATGTTCATAACAAAATTGCTGTAATTGAAATTACCTTTTCTTTGTTAATGAGAAAGCATGACAGAATATGTAGGATTTCTACATCTGTTACTACTATATGCTTATCAATGAAATTATTTAGTAAACCACTATATCACCCAGAACAAACTAGATCTCCCACAATTTCAGAAGTTAATCAAGGTTAGTGTTTGGATGAGAAACCACCAACCAATAGTGGAATAGTGGCCAAGATGCCAGTGAGGCAGCTTTCTATGTTCCTAACGTGGAGCCAGGATTGCTCCTGTCTAATTGTTTGTTACATTTAACATTGTGACAACCTTTCTTCACCCACATTTATGACTGGTAAACTATTTTATACCTTTTAAATTTCTTATGAGAACAGAAGAAATGTCAGGACACACTGAGAAAGCCCATTTTGTTACCTTTGGCTGGGTAGCATGCCCACCTCAGCCTGAGGTGCAGACATGCTGGAGAGATGGCTGGAGAATCGTCTCCTCCCAATGGCACCCAAAAGGTATGCTTCTTGTTCACTTACCACACTGGGCATGCTCACAGAATCATCTAGGAGGAATTCAGAGAGGACGAATCATTTCACGCGTATCTTCAAGCTTTTTGGATGATGATTAACTTTCTCAGTATAATTTTCTAAGCCCTTTTTGCTAATGTTTGGTGAGCACCAAGACTCAAGACTGCAAAACACAGATATGCCCTCTTTCTTCTAACTGCCCTCTTGGTTGTCTGCCAGAATCACAAGGGCTTCAGCTTGTTAAAAAAAATTGACTTTCTGTCTTCAGTCTGCCCACTTGAAACTGCCTCTGCTAATCAGCAACAGCAAATTGTCTTATTTCATTTGTGAAATAGGTTTCTAAACCATTTTTCAGGATTTAAAGTCATCACAAGGTAGAACACAAACAAAGGCTACAATCCTGCTAGTGTTTGTGTAAGGTTTGTGCAATGTTTCACAACTAACTGCAGCTAACTGACTACATGACAGGGCACAACTCTAATGCACAATTAGGTGCATGACCAAACAAACAATAAAGACAATCTCATCAATTAGCCAAGTTCTATATGCCATACACAAACACCAACAGAATTTATTGGTTTTAGTTATCTTTTTTAATGATGTAAACTTCCTTGGGTCCTTTTATGGAAAAATGTGGGGTAAACATATTTTATATACTTTTTTTAAAAAAAATAGAATTATTGGCTAATAAATACAAGATAAAGATGCAAAGTGAGACAAAGTGCTGAATTACTCTTGATTCTTCTGGAATACCAGGTCCTTCAACCTTCATCTATTTCCATTCCAGCATATCCATGTAAGAACTACTGTGTAACTTAAAAAATTGATGCATGAGTTTCCTGATATTCTTCCTTCCTAATCCCTTCTTCCTTTTGTTCCTTCTTTAAATTCTAAGCCTACCTATTTTTGTTAATCTTACTAAATTGCAAGATGGTGGGAGAATGGGTAAACTACTTTAAATGTGAACAAGCGAGCAAGGAAGCAAGCGGACGGACGGTCCAGCCAACCAACAGACCACAGGCAGGGGCTCGGTGCTCCTTACTAATGCAACTCCGCTCGCTCTTAAAAATTGTGTTGATTAATTCACCCCTGACTTGTGACTATAGTAGATGGAGATTTCAACAGAGAGAGATCAGTGATCAGCCCGCCCATGATGGCAAACTTACTTTCTTCATCTTCTTCATCCGTCCGGCTCAAAGTATCTTGAGAAGCCTGTTGGGAAGGCTCGCTGTCCTGCTCCCAGACGGTTCCTGTGCCCGTGTTGGAGCGGGACATGGTGGCAAGACTAAGTCGGTAGGCGGAGGTGGATGTGCCCACGGTGCTGATAGAGGTTTTCCCTTGGTAGGCTGAACAAACGGGGATGGAGGGTAAAATAACAATTACATTCAGGAAATAGAATAATGTTATAAAGATGTTATATGTTCATGTTCAGGCAGGAACTTTTAGAAAGAACCAAAAGGAGGGATCAAATGCCTATAAGCCATTAGTTATGGACCCTATACTAGCAGTGATGCAAGAAATAAAAGAATGAGAATTTGGTCATAACAACACCAAAGTTCCATTTGGTGTGGGCTGCTGAGGGCATCCAAGAATGGATTAAATTTATCTCCTACTCCTGAAAGACTGGGATCACACGGCAATCAGACTTGCTTTAGAGTTCGTCTTCTTGTACTCCATCTCCAGTTCTATCCTGTGCCCAAGGTTAACACAGTAGTCCATTTGTAGAGGAGTGAAGGATTGGGGTGGTGGTGGTGAGAAAAAGCAGTGAATATTCTTTACATACTTGAAGGACAGAAACTTCTCAAAGAAGAAGATCAGTTGCTACATTGTGATAAAGGAGCAATTGTTGAGTCTCTCGATCAGTGAGTGGCTTGGGCCCCTATATTACACCAAACTAGAAGAAGCTTTCACAGTTAGAGGCCTCCTCCTGTTTCTCATTTGGGTTTGAGCAGAGCAAAGAGCGTATAAGGGCAACCTGGCTTGGAAGGTACTGAATAAAGAGCTGCTGTTTGGGGACAGAAGCTGTTTGGGTAGAAACAGAAGCATGACATGAAGGAACTTAGGAATCTGAATCCGAAGCACTTCACCACCCATCAAATGGTGTTTAGGCCTTGGAAAATTTTATGAGGATGTATACCCAAGGTACATGCATCTTCTCTCATAGTAACAGGTTAAGTTATATTTTGGAGTGCATGTCCTGTCCACTTTGGGATACCATTAACTCACTGCATAAGGACTTCAGCATCAGGGGATGTCCATTCAACACTTTGCAAAAGTCTGAAGTAAATGTATTAATTCCTCTTTTCATTTCTGCTTTATCCCTTATGTGAGATCAAGAGCCTTGTTCTCTTGCTCACATGGTATGGGATGTTTTGCTTGACAAAAACAATCCTGCTCTTTGTCCCCCCCCCACCACCTTCTTGGCTTCCTGAGATGTCCTCACCTGACCCACTATGCACAGCCTCCTTGAGGATCTTTAGCTCATTGTTGAACTCTGCAATGAGAGAACTCTTGCAGAGGGGCCGTGGGATGAAGCGCCGTTCTAGCTGGTCGGCAATGTGCTGTCGGGCAGTCAGCTCCTCATGATTCTCAGCTGGCTGGGCTAGCAACTGGAGGCAAATGTATTGGAGAAGGGCCACAGTAAATGAAGAATCATCATAAAATACTTCTTAATTAATTCAGAGAGAAGTCATAGTTTTGTAGTATAGCAACAGCCTATACAATGTCTCAGGTTCAAGCCTGAATCACATAGTGTGAGGCAGCAGTGCTGAGAAGCCCTCTTTCTAATGAATTGGGAGGGTCACTGTCAGCCATAATAGACAGTCCTGGGTTAGTGGAAACCAACAGACAGAAGCTTAGGATCATCATTCATTATGATTTTGTTGGTTTTGCAGTATTTTCCATTACAGACCTCTTAACAGCCAGAATCCCAGGCATTTCACAAAAATTTTCTTTCACAGTTTCATCTTTCCTATACACAAGGGAATCTACTCTCTACTAAAACTATAATATAGTAATACTATATAGACAGACAGACAGACAGACAGACAGACAGACAGACAGACGATAGATAGATAGATAGATAGATAGATAGATAGATAGATAGATAGATAGATAGATAGATAGATAGATAGATAGATAGATAGATAGATAGATAGATAGATAGATAGATAGATGGATAGATGGATAGATGGATAGATGGATAGATGGATTAAAATATTGTGAAATAGTGTTAATACATATTCTGTCACTGTATTTTAGAAGGGAATGGAGATTAACTTTAGAAGCAGTTATACCTTGCACTGAATGAAGGGTCGAAGAAGCACAAAAATAGGAATTCGAGTCCGAACTATAAAATCCACAAAATCCCACAGGGCTAGCCCTCCTACTTTTCGCAGAGCCATCTCTTTGACCTGCAAACTCAGCCAATACCACTGGCTGCCAAGTTGCCGCTCAAAACAGACAAGGATCACCTTCAGAGCTAGAAGTGGGACAAATGCCAGAACAAGTAAAATATAATGTAATGACTACATATGTAAAGACTACACAGTTCTCACCCATTAAAAAAAACCTCAAGTCTTGTAATTAGGGAAAACGTCGAGGTACTGCTACATCTGACCAGTAGATCTGTAAACAACCCAGATCTTACAGATATGGCCCTTTTATATCCTGTTTTGATCTCTTCAGCTAATCAATACTCATTGGTTTCAACTTTAAATACTATATGTCAGTGTTGTAAGCCACCTCGGATCCTTTTCAAGGAGGAAGGTGGGGTAAAAATATTTTAAAATAAATTAATTAAATCAATCAATCAAAGCAGTGCCTTTGCTATACTGTACACAGCACAAGGTCTCCATGAAAGTATGCTCAGCTGCTGATCTAATCTTATGAAATTCATCTTGAACCTAAGAGCTTTAGCTTGTTCAGGATGTAGACTGACAATGCTTGGAATGTGGGACAAGTCCAATTAGCAATCTCCTACGTACATACACGGGAGGGACGTGGTGGCGCTGTGGGCTAAACCGCAGAAGCCTGTGCTGCAGGGTCAGAAGACCAAGCAGTTGTAAGATTGAATCCACACGACAGAGTGAGCTCCCGTTGCTTGTCCCAGCTCCCGCCAACCTAGCGGTGCGAAAGCATGCAAATGCAAGTAGATAAATAGGGACCACTTTGGTGGGAAGGTAACAGCGTTCCGTGTCTAAGTCGCACTGGCCATGTGACCATGGAAGATTGTCTTCGGACAAAACGCTGACTCTATGGCTTGGAAATGGGGATGAGCACCACCCCCTAAAGTCGAACACGACTGGACAAAAATTGTCAAGGGGAACCTTTACCTTTACCTTACATAAACTTGGGAGTAAGACCTAGTGACAAGTGAAAAAATCTCACTCACCTAAGTAGGCTGCCTGACTAGTGGATTCGGCTAGCCCTTCTTTACGCAGATCCTTCCCTGCGTCCCCCGGAGTGGAGCAGTGGGCAGGGGAGCTCTCCAACATGAAGTTCTTGCTGCGAGAAGTGCTGATAATGCGAGGCGGCAGCAATATATTGATCACTGTCTGGAGCAGCAGGAGGACTTCTGGCTGCTCTAGCCAAGGGCTGTCTGCATAATAATCAATGGGGGGAAAAAACAAAGAACAGATCAGACCTGGCTCATGGAAGAGTTTCAGCACCACATTGTGACAAAATATGGGCATTCTTTACACTCAAGCCAGTTTGCCTCTTCCTGTAAGCAAAAGCAGGCCAGTTATTCTGGCACAGACACAACACACCGCTCCCAATTTTAAACTGAGAGCAATATGAACATCTTGGCTACTATGCACATACACCCTGCCTGCGGTTCTTTGCTTTTAACAATTAAGGACAGGTTCACACTGGCCTTGACCAGGGTCAATAAAAATGGCATGCGTTGGGCGGGGCTGCGATGTCCAGGGTGAGAGCCTCTTTAATTGGGACCCAAGCAGGTGTTCCCTTAGCGTCAAGACCATGCAACCGAACAGTGTGTTCCAGATCAAGGCCCAAGGGTGAACCAGCCTTTCAGAAGTGGATCAGCCATTCTACAGGAACTGTAGTGTGAAAAAAACAGATTTCGAACCACACTAGTAGCATGCAGTTGAGAAAAGATCGGCCTAGATGGACGCTGTGTGGTTTTCTTGTTTGTTCCCATTTCTTACACACAGGTGAATTTTTTGCTTTGTCCGGCATGCTCTGTCATTTATTTTGTTCTGATCTCATAAAGAGGAGCTCCTCTTGTCAAAGACCGAATTCAGAAAGCACCGCTGAAATGAGAGAAGGACACCACAACACCTATTGACTCGTGGAGATCCCCAACAAGACCTACAGACAACACGCCACTGAAAGAACGCTCATAAGAAAAGGAATATAGAGGTGGAAGGAAGCACAAACATTTGCCGTTTCGGAGAGGCAGCAGGGAGGGGACAACAAAACAGTCTTTTCTGTTAATCAGACCTTTGCTTCCTGATCCTACTGTGAGCACAAATGGAATCAGAAGATTTAAAAGCATTCCTTCCCTCCTTTCCTGATTGGTGAATGGAGAGATCACGTGGCTTAAGGGGAAATCTTCTTTCAAAGCCTGTGCAGTAATAATAATAAGAAGAAAATAATTAATTTGTTATACTGGCAAATTATAGGGGTTAAAGTGGCTAGCCTGAAAAAGGAACCCACAAACATTTTGTTTACACAACACCCTACAGAAGCACCTTGTGCCCACATCTTGATGGGTTAACCAGCCTGAATGACACCTTCTCAAAGGTGCAAGTTCCCTTTTAGTACAGTCATTATTTCAATCTCATTCATATTTTTAAATCCAAAATAACTTCTCAGCAGACCATGCATTGATAACTGTGCCAAAGTAAAAGAGGTCAAAGTCTAAAAATGTCTGGGGGGAAAGCTAATGTAAGGGAAACTGTTCTCCCAAATACAGTGGTGCCTCACATAGCGACGATAATCAGTGCAGCAAAAATTGCTGCAAAGCGATTTCGTCACTATGCGATGTTAAAAAGCCCATAGGAATGCATTGAAACCCCTTCAATGCGTTCCTATGGGCTTCAGACTCACCTTAAAGCAAAAATCCTCCATACGGTGGCCATTTTCGCTGCCCGGTAAGCAAGGAATTCGTCCCAGAAAACAGCGGGCGGCCATTTTTTAAAACCTGGTGGCCATTTTGGAACCGCCAATCAGCTGTTAAAAAATCATCGCTTTGCGATGATCGGTAAGCAAAACGGTACCGATCATAGCAAAGCGATTTTTCCCCATAGGGAACATCGCAAAGCGATCGCAAAAGTGATCACAAAAAGTTAATCGCTATGTGATTTCTTTGTTAAACGGGGCGCCCATTAAGCGAGGCACCACTGTATAAACCTCTAGGTTACCCCATATTGCTTTGTTTGACTCTGAGTTAAACTTTCTGCTAAATACCAGGTTCTTCAATACATAGTTGTGAATTGTACTTGTTCAGTGTCCACATGTAAAATGAAATGAACCTCAACACTATTTCAGTCATTAAGATTTAGGCTAACAATGTTTGAGGGATTTTGCACAGTCCTGCAATTTAATGGTGTTAGAAAACCATGTTTCTAAAATTCAGATTTAAAATGTACAACTATAAGTTTACTTACTGTGAATACACTGCTAAAAACAACAAGGGTGTGCAAAAGAAGAGCACATTTTCCCTGCTGTTTCCATCAAGTTTAAGTTTATAATAGTGACTGTTAGTTTGAACCAGGGTTTCCATAAGTGCTGATAAAGTTCTGTTTGTCACAGCACAACTTTCACTCAGCTCAGTATCTTGTATTCCAGCAAGATTTGTCCTGTGACTCACCAGTAGAAAATAAACATAAGCTTTATTTGCAAATCTGATAGCCCAGCCTTGGAATGCTGAAGAAATCACATTGTAGGAGAGGGGGAAAAGGTGTTTTAACTGCTAACACAAGCTATCTGATCTACTTGATCCTGTGTGTATACAGTATATTTAAAACATTTTACACTACTGTTCCAAAGATCTACATAGTTTTAGGCAAAGCTACACTACTACCAACTTCTTTGAAACTCACGCCAATCAAACATGTAACAGCAACAACTACAACATGCCATCAAGTTAATTCCATTTTCTGGCACCCTTCCCAGGATTTTCTAGCTATAGAATATATAGAAGTGGTTTACCATTCCCTTCTTCTGGGGGCACTTTTGAATCATGCATTCTGCTCAAGACTACTCAGGCTGGCAGTTCTCCTTGGAACTCCTGACCTCTAGCTCCACACCCTGGTACCCAGTTCACCAAGCTAGTCAGCCAGATAACCACGCATATACTTCCTTCTAAATTATTGGTTCCCAACTATGGGTAACTCAGGTGTTCTTGGGTATAAAAGTAAGTATAAATATAAAACGGAACTGATCAGAGCATTTACACTTTGTGTGGTCTCTTCGCCCAGTTGTTTTAATCAGGGTTCACTTCACCCTGATCAGACCCACTGGCACCTCATAGCAACAAAAACCATTTGATATCCGGGGGCAGGGGGGGATATTTTTAAAAAGAAAGTGATGGCTTTTATTAGCTTCGAGATATCCTGTGACATGAAACTGATGAAACTTTAACTGAACTATGTTGTGAAGATGTAAAATATTTGAATTCATGCTGACTTTTCATTGAAGCAAATGAAAAAAAAAATTGTGGATCTTCATACAGGTATATGAAGAAGACAACACAGTGGGGGCGGATGACTTCAAATGCCAAGAGACTCACGTCAGATACTGAGATAGAATTGTCTATGTGTCAGCCCTTCAGTTGGTTTAAGACTGCATAGCCCCAACATAACTTCAGTAGGACTGTGCTACGTAAATTGATACCAACTGAAGATCTGCACAACGGCTAAATGCAGAGCTTCCAAAATTCAGCAGATTGGTGGGAATGTTTACATTTTGCTTCACAGTTTTTGCCCAGCTTTCGCAGAAAAAAAAAGAGAGAGATCACCAATGAGTTGGTGTCTCAAACATATGAGAAGCAAAGCCTGTTTAACAGGCAAGGCAGTCACACCTGAATCTGCAATGCTACAAGCCGGACAACAGCTGTGCTGAAGGGTAGAGGTGGCGAGAGATAAGGGCTGAGATGAAGAAGGGGTAATCCATCGGCCACACTGGAAGGTCCTACTACTCCCATCACCTGCAATACAAACACAGCACATCACCTTGACCAACTGTTTGCAATGCCATCCATGCCATACCCTCCAATGTTAATGAAGTACACATTTCAGGTAGCGCAAGACTGGGTTGCTCCGGGAGGCTGAGCTCTCCACAGTGCCTTGCGGTAGCTGCTGGGGCCAGTAAGGGAAAGGAATGCGTCTAGCAGGAAGTGGGTGCGGGGAGGGGGTCAGGCGCTGCTACAGGGTTAGCCAGAGGGATTGGAGAGGAGGGGCACAGGGGGGACCAGCATATGTAAGAATGTACCCAGTACTAGCCCTAAATAACCAGCACTGAAAAATAGGTGAGGTTGGAGGGTATGCCATGTAGTTACTGTAGTCATTAGGGAAAAAATGTACTGAAATCACAGGGTTTCTCATTGGTTTCACTTGTTCCCTTCAAGTGCCATGGTAATGTCCCAAGTCTGACCCAGAAAGGGTTTCATTCATGCAATGTTCAGACCCTCCTGGATGACTGTGCCATGATTTTTTTTAAGATTAGATTTTGGGAATGGACTATACTTATTCAGATCTACAATACAGATGATTTTGATGCAGACTTAATGATCCTGTTAGGATGCTTTCTCAAGTTTTGAAAAAATTGTCTTCTTTTTTTATTTATTTTTTTAGTGCATGGGAAGAGTCAGACTGGGTTGTGGCACTAATGGAGATCCAATCTAGTTCAGCAATCTCTTCACACGGAGGGGCACGAGTTACCTTCAGAACATGAACCCAATGGCAGCCTTCATCTCACATTCAGCAGCAACAGGCATCTATAGAGGCACAGCACCTCTGATACTGGGGTGGGGTTATAGCTGTTCTGACTAGCAGCTACTGATCTCCAGCATCTGATATTGAACAACGCAGCCATGTTTCCAGTGGCTACTCCAAGCTGTTGGGATATGTACGCGCACACCCCCCCCGTCAAGATACAGGTTAAGAGGCACTAAAAGTACAGTGCTTAAGTGGAAATGAAGAGTGGCTTGAACTTAGCTCTTGCCAGAAGTTCCTAAATTTCTGACTAGCACATATCACTTACTAAAACATTGCGATCCTGGATTATGAATAGTGTTTGGAAGACTAGTTGTGCCTGCACTTATGCCTGCTTTCCATCTGATCCACCTATCCATAGCAACTGAAAATTACAATATGCAACTGAAGAGATGGGAAGCAGACATAAACGCAGGCACTGCTTGTCCTTCAAATAACATGAATCCAGCAACCATCTTTCAGCATGTTACATGTTATTGGCAAGAGAGAAATGATCACTATTCAATGAAGGGCATGAGTTTTTGTACCCAGATTAAATTCTGAATCAAAGAAATGTTGAATCAAAGGCAGAAGTGTTCTGCTTATTTCAGGGCAGGCAACCTGATTCCCCCCCTCCAAAATTCACAGCTGCAATTCCCATAAACCCTCAGCAATCATAGCCAATTATTGATTGATTGATTGATTGATTGATTGATTGATTGACTGACTGACTGACTGACTGACTGACTGACTGACTGACTGACTGACTGACTGACTGACTGACTGATTTCCCATCTTTCTCCTTAAAAAATACCCAAGGCAGCTTACATCATTAAAAAGATAATACTGTATTTAAAAGCTAAAACTGTAAGTATACAAATATTTAAAGGTTTAAGAAACAATTATAGTCCAAAATATCTGTAAAATTGCAGTTGTGTGTTCAAGAATTCCCTAGTGCAACTGAATTATACCTACAGCGGGTTGCTAAAGCACAGAAGGATCTGAACATTGTACAAGGAAGTTCCAAATGTACTTGAGACTATGGACATTACAAATGGGGAAAAATTTACTCAAGGGATTCCTCCCATTTGTCAATTGTTCACTCCCTTTTGGAGAGAGATAAAAATTGTTTTCTTTCCATAACCTGAGACCGAATATGTCTCCAGCTTCCCCATCCCACTCCCAACTTTTCTACAGGTGTGTGCAGTATCTACCACCCCACTCTCCAACTTGCAGCCCTCAACTCTCGGCGCAACAGGCAGGAGTGAATTTTCAAAGTGTTGCGTGGAAAGTAGCAAAAACCAGTCACTGGACTATGAGGATCCTTCCCATTCTCTCCCCATGCACCACTCTGAAAATGTACTCCACTATTCCTAAGGTAATTTGAGGAGCTTATGAGTATAAATGAGGGGACAATAGAGGCTGGCTAAATATTAATTCCAAGGGAAGATGTGCAGGAGAATGCAAGTTTGGTTACTCACCAGATTAACACAGACATTGATCAGTGACCTAAGATGAGGCAGGAAGGATATGATTGGCTGCCTCTGAAGTGTCAAACAAACCCCTTCAATCAAACTGCTGGCAGGCTCCCACTCAACCTGTCGCCTGGAATACAACAGTAGGTGGCATTAGGTGTCTGGCTGCACCAGAAACCCTACATTAAGGGGACTGAAACAAAGGGACACCAAGGATGAAGAAGGATGTCTCAGAAGACAGAAATCTACATTACAAGGCTAGCATTTTACCCATGCCATTCACAAAAACAGTGTAGAAGAAACTGGACCTGCAGGATGGGGGCAGTGTTACCAATGCTCATACAGTGACAAAAATATAATGAGACCCATAGCAAACATGAAAGGAGTGAGAAAGGTGAGTTTGTTAATGTCTCAAGAAGGCAAGCTTCAGGTCTAAATGGTGTTCTGTCACTGAGGCAAATTTCTGACCTCTGAGATTGCCTTCTTGTACTGGAAAGGTTTTGCTACCTTCTACAAATTGAACTAAAGATTCTGAGATTAAGATGTGAATCTTCTCAATGTCAGACTGAATACATGTCTGAAAACCACAGTGCAATTTCTCTGCATGAAATCTCCCCACCCACTCACCCACCCACTCACAAATAAATCTCATGGGAAATTTTGCAGGGTTTCTTTACAGTTTTGTGGTCATTGGTTTCGGGAAGAAATGTCAAAATCTACAGGATTATGACAATTCCTGCACAGAACTACATGTTCTCTACACAGGAAAGAGTATCGAGCTGTGTGAAATTTGCACGTTTCTGCACAGAATAATATGCAAAAGAATTTGTGGTGGGGGAGGATGGAAGGACACAAGACTGGGGGGTTCAATTTAATGGGACACCTGGAAGACTCATTAATGCAGTGAGAAGACTTGGCATGCTGAGATCCAGAAAACTACAGAGGATGATAAACTTTGCTAGTACTTGTCTCTTCCCTATTCTGAGAAATGCATATGTCCTCAGCAGCTTTCAGCAATATTCTGGTGTAGGCTAATCCAATGGATGTCAGAGATGAAATGGATATGAGGGTGCCTGATATTCAGAACAACTTTCTGGACTGGGCCAGAGCAGAACAACACCCTTCATGTTTTTAAAGCAAAAAGCAAAGTGTGCTGCTTATATACCGCCCCATAGCGCTTCAAGCATTCTCTGGGCGGTTTACAAGTTAATTATGCAGGCTACAAATTGCCCCCCCCCAGCGAGATGGGTACTCATTTTACCGACCTCGGAAGGATAGAAGGCTGAGTCAACCTTGAGCCGGCTTCCTGGGTTTGAACCCCAGGTCGTGAGCACAGTTTTGGCTGCAGTACAGCGGTTTAACCACTGCGCCACGAGGCTCATTTGCAAAACTGTTTTTTCTATAGGGTTTGTTGATGATTAAAGGCTCGCTATAAAGCTCGTTTTTCATATAAGCTTCTGTCAGTTGGACAACTGAACATGGCGATTTGTTATTGAATCTCTTCCATTATGTACTGTAGATTCTCCAGCAGCACTCCGTGATGTTCTAGAGTTTTTCCACTCATCACAGCAAGTGCTGACAAGCAAACTGATGAAGGGATCCCTGCTTTCTTATTGCTTGGTTCTTTAAACTCTTACTGTGAGCCACTTAGTCAACTCACAGGGAAGCAATATAGGAAACAAAGAAACAGCAAAACAAGTCAAAAAGGATGCTGGTTGGATCCAGAACAAGGCTTCCCCAAAACATTTGCTGCTTGAAAAAAAGACTATAAATTGGTGTCCCATCTGCATCACACACCAAAGTGAAGTGTTAGCTGTGTCTTTTCCCACACTTGTGGGCAGCATTCTAATTTAGGAAGTGCAGGACCAGCATTATGGCCAATGAAGTTGTGCCCTCCAAGAGCGGGGAATAACCAGGAGGTTCTGATGAAAGGCTCAGGGAGTGGCGGCTGCTACTGCTGACCTACAGTGTTTGTGAGCTGCGCTGCTGCCTGATCTTACTTGGTGGTGCAGCTGACTGATTTCACTGTTAGAAAGGTTCTGCTTACAGAAAGTGTATCCCCCTAATTTTCATTTACTGTATTTCCCAGCCCTTGCACTGCGGCTCACTCCATCCAACAGGATCCCTTGATCCTCTCTGTAGCATTTTCTAGGATGCTCCTGTGGAGTGGAGAAGGTAATTGCACCACTTCTACAGGTATTAATTCAGATATAACCCATGGTATCCTGTGAAGTGGTCTTCATAGGCATGATGTAGGTAGCAATTAGCTACAACTCCTCCACCAACTACAAAGGATATGTTCTCTAGAAAACAGATGTCAGTCTACTGCTACTACAAATCTTTTGGGGAAAAAAATATTTTTCCTCTGGAATGTTAGAATCTGTGCTGGAAACATATTTCCTCTGGAATGTTAGAGTCTGTGCTGGAAGTCAGCAGGTGTGTTATTGCACATGGAGATACCGAACATGGCTTGATGAACATAAAATCAGGTATATCTGTCTTCCTTGCTGTTTATCCTATTTACATTAATTACAATGTGGATGAGGAGGCAGAGGCAGAGAAGGGACTGCCGTATGGTCACTGCTGTAATCAAAATTACTTTTCTGGTGTCTTCATGGATGATCACACAGTAAGTCTCCTAAAAGCAAGGCATATTTTGGTAAATCTATTTCAATTCTAGAGAGATTCTGAATGTGCAATATTAAAAGAAAAATCCTGTAATTGCTAAGACATGGGGAGATGTTGTTTTAGTTACCAGTGATATGAACAAAATGCATCACCACAGTTCCCAACTGGGTGCAGGATGCTCCCCAAGTCCTTGGTCACCAGGAAGTTTCCCTCTCATGTCATAGACTTGAAAATAACCTCAGGAGAGCTGGAGCTCCCAGAGGTCTCTGGATTTCTGATTTTGGATATGCGATTCTCATATCAAGGCTTCCATGTAATATGCCCCATGTGAAAAGATGGAAAACTCTAAACTTTTCCTAAGCAAGTCTTTTGATATATCTGTGGCCAAAGTAATTCAGAATGAAATCACAGATTTCAACAGTTATCTGGATCAGTGACAGCTCCTTATCTTAGTTCCAGAAGAGGGACTCCTTCTGGCTAAAAAAGCCCAGACATTCTCTGCCATGTTCTAATCTAACAAACACAATTTGGTATAAACTTTCAGAGGCCAAGGTGCGCTTCATCCTTTACATCTTTAAGAGAGGTGTTTAGATTTTCCTTGCCTCTTCCGCAATGTCTCTCAAACAAGTGTTTTTATCTACAACTTTGTTTATCTAAGCAGATACAGGATCTGCTTCTAGCGCCAACGTATTCACCCAATCAAGTGGTTAATCTGAGGATGAAGTGAATGTATCCAAAACATCTATAAATAAGGGTTAATGATGCAGGAGAACAGATATATCTCAAGGAGTTCTGAAATGAATTCACCATGAGAAACAAGGCCGTTTATATGGCTTTCCCAGTCCTCAACATGATGACTCCTGCATTTCTTAAGACTGTTACATTTCGTTATCTTTAAAAACTTCTGTGGTTGCAGACAGATTTAACCACATAACATGCACACAACTCTGCAGACTTTAATCACATGTGCCAAAGTTAACTATCTGAATATATCAGGCCAAAACCCAAATTAAAAATAAATAAATAAAAACGAAAACATTGTGGCAACTTAAAGACTAACTTAAAATAGCTGTACTGTATTTTAATGTGAGCTTTTGTGGACACTTCCTCTGAATACAGTACATGAAGACAGTTAGTGGTGATTTTAAATGTTACAAAAACAACCACCTCAGTCTGGAATCCTCTTTTGTGGAGCATGCTACATTTTTAAAATTTCTGTTATTTCTAAATAAAAGATGTATTTCCTCTATTGTTGCCTCAAAAGTAGGGCCAGAAGCACACAAGCACCAATAGGAGAAACACATTTTTATTTTGCTGTGAGAATTCAGTGCAGCAAATCACTGTCAATAAAATGACATACCCTTCCTTCAAGGCTCGCAACATCAGAAACGGAGCCTCATAGGTTTCCGTCACACCTGCTCACCTCAAAGTAGGCATCTTGTGAATTTTATTGAACATACGATCCAATCGTTTTAAGATGAGGATCAGGGCAGGCCTCACTGCTTCGGCCGTCCAGTCAGTGATGGGTAGCATCTCCATGATGTATCGCCGGAGCCCACGGCTTTCCATCGTCTGGGTGTCATAAGGTGCCAGCTTCAGAAGGGAATGTGCAATTTCTGCCAACCTAAAATTATTGCTTGTTAAGAGGGAAATCTGAGATTCTATAAAGTGAGCTCCTGTGACTACTGCATAGTGGAAAAACACACCTCCATTAATAGAATGTAACCTCTGAATGTACACTCTAGCAAGTTCAAGGGTCTCACAAGCTAAGGCACCTTTACTTTCATGGACATCTGTTTGAGTATTGCTCTACAATCTATAAATGGCATACAGTAATGCTCCTACATGTCTAAGGAATCTCTGACATTCTTTGATATAAACCACATCTATAAAATCCATATTATTCTCTTTCAAGGTCCACTTACTTAAGAGTCATTACAAAATACACATATAGTACTTTATAAGATTTAGTAACTACTGGGTCACTACCTGGACATTCAAAAAATGTTCAGTATACAAGCCTGCTCTTAGATTATGTACCATGTCCTATGGTATGACAAAATAACTAGATAAACATAAAAGCAAATAGAAGCCTTTTTTGTTAATGAAAATTGGAGGTGCATGACCCCTAATCCAGATCCAGAATACAGAAGTATGAAAAGTTCTATTTCAACCCCTATAATAGGGTCCAATCCAGATCAGGGACCACAAACAGCCAACTTTGGAAAGAAACTTTCATGGGAAACTTACACTCATGGGAAAATTATGTGATTAACCTTATAACTGAAATTCTGTTGATTGGCAAAGTCAGTCTCAACTACAGTAGCCTCATTTGAATCAATGGAACTTACAGCGGAGTTGAATTACAAAATCCCCACTGATTGAATGGGCCAACTTTAGTTGTGATTTATTATGCTAAGCTACAGATTCCAGCCTGTGTGTAGTTTTGCCTGCAAACCTCTGAGAAAATCACCAGCTTTGCATTGAGCCAGACATAATATGAATGGATCTTCAAGAAACTGGCTCAAGCAAGTATTTGGATTATTTATCGAAGCAACATTTGCAACTGCTTGAAATCTATTTCTTCACAATGATGCCAATCTGTAATATAGTCAATGTGGTTTTAAAATGACTCAGACCTGAGTATTTAGCAGACTTGTCATGAATTTGTATCCAGAAAGAGAGAATCTGTGAAATCAACACTTGTTATAGGGGGGCCCTCAACTACAACAGAAGCAGAACTTTAGGTTCTACAGCCAAGGAACAACTTAAACAAAACTAACAGACAGCATATTTGCTGAACACAGATCAAATTCATAAATAAAATACAGCATATGCTGAATATCCAGGAATTAGCAAACCAAGCAGAAATTGAAAAACCTCTCTAAGAATGAAATTTACATGCTGCAGGATGACTGTAAGGCTTAAAACTGGCAGCAACAGCAAACTGGGAAGCAACACACTTCACAACCTAGTAGCAATTTCACACCCTCTTCTATTCTTCAGATACAGAAAAAGAGGCTACCAAAGAACTATTTGCTAAATCCACCAATATTCAGAATGACTACCTAGTGGACAATGGGTAGTGAAACAGAAGGCTCATCCTCTCTGAGATTACAAAGAATCTGAAAAGGTGGATGGAAGTTTTGATGGGCTTCTATAGACTGAATGATGAAAATGTATTGTGTGCTTTGAGGTGGTGTCAACATTTTCTTTTGTTATTCCTTTCTAAATATGTCTTAATAATGCCACATGAATGTATTTTTGTTTCATTTTCTGCAAGAACTAGCAGCCCTATCTGAGCTAATCATTTCAATATGTTTCTTACTGAATGTGTTATGGTGTCCATGAAGTCATGCTTATGAAGGTCCTGTGCCTGTTGACAGTAACTCTCTACTCATATTTGTTTTAAACTTACAGCAGTAATGTATAGTCTCTGCAGATGAAACAACTGAGGAGGCTGGTATATGAGTGGGAAAGCCTTCTGAGAGGAGAGGCAATTGCACTTGTTCTTTTAAAAATGAACAGGTTATCTATATTCCAGCATAGGCAAAGAAAAACACAGTTTTCTCAGGACAATCTCTCTCTCTCTCTCAATGACAGCTCTGTACTTCATTTCATTGTTTTCTTATATAAACAGTAGATACAGATCTAAACGTAATAGAAGTATTTCTCTATGTTCAATCTGAAAACCTACCAAAACTCCATAAAAGTATGTATTATCTCTCTTGTGTCGGCAATATCCAAGGACACGGTAGAAAATATGTCAACCGACATTTTCGGAGCAATCACAATTTGACAATAAAGTGCTCAGAAATGACAATTTCCCCAAAAGGAGAAACAATCTGAAAGGATGAAATTAGTAACCCTCATAACAAAAGAATTACAAACCTAAGCTAAATGATTTCCTGAGAGGATGTTGTCAGTATAGGAGAACTTAAATCCAGCATTTACAAGGGAAAATTGGCATGCATAAGTAAGTCAAATTGTTCCACTGACCTGGGTGTCAGGCGTATTTACCATGTTGAGCTTCCTGGGTCACCTCACAGCCCCTGAATGCAACCCCCATAAACATTTCTAAGTGACTTATCCTGCTCTGAGAGGATTCTAGCAACTGTATCAAGGAGACAGCAGTGTCCCTCCCTCAAGTTCCCAAACTTCTGAGATCAAAACCAGAATTGGCCACCCAGACACTTCTGGCTGCAGTTTCCTCCCTAGATTTTGGCCATCCTCAGGTCCAGCACAGCCTACAGAGACTGCTAGGGGCACAAATATGGCCCTCAGTCCCTCCGAAGTTGCCACCATTACTTTAGAGGCTATGTTCCTCACTATTCTGATGTTAATGGGAGAACCAGAAAAGGTTCTGGAACAGAAAGAATCTTGTTCTACTCACAATGAAAAGCTTTTGACTTCTTTTAAGGTGTGCTGATAACAGTCAGGATGTCTCTTGGGATATATTTACCACATGCATCTACCGTACGATAACTATATAAGACTAGACATTATATGTATTCAAAGATTCATGTGCTCTTAAAGTAATACCTCATATGAGACTTAACATCCAGTAGCTCTAAGGAAGTCACCCTAGGCTCTCCAGCGAGGTTTTGCAAAATCTTCAGCCTGGGGCCACAGTGTTTATAGAACTCTGTACAGATATTCAACAGAGACTCACGAGGTCGCCTGAACTCTTCCCTAGCAATACGTTCATCCAGTTCCTCTCGCTGGAGGCCTTGGCCTTCCTCCAGCAGATGAAGGTTTTCCCTGAAGATTACAAAAGGGAAAAGATGCAGAACGTGAAAGTGGAGGCAGAGAAAAAATGTGTTGATAAAGGGGAGACATTGCAATGAACCCCTCCTTTTGAACAGGTAGGGATGTACCTGTGCAGATGCTTTGATGTGAGTAATTTCTCCCATAACATAAAAGGAGGAACACGTGGTTAGGACATTAAAAAGAGAGAAGATATTATCTGGAAAGCCCCCATTAAAATACGTTTTACCTGTTTCCCCTCTTACGGCATCTCTTGTACCAAATTGTCGAAAGTGGACCCCTTGGTGTGAGATAACCATACCGGAGGAGTTCATCACATGTACTGAAGATAGTGGGTGGCAAGCACACAATACCTGATAAAGTGCAGCTTGGCTCCTTGCTCTGGATACCTAAAAATAAGGGGAGAAAATGATGAAGAGCTAATAAGGGAGAAGGATGCGATGTGCACTTTTGGCAAGCTGTCTGGCCTCTGCCCACAGGGAGCAAGCAGGCAGGAGGAGGGTGAGGCGCCTCAGGATCAGGCTGGCTGGAGGGAGTCCCTGCAACTGCAGGAGAGACAGCTGGAAGAGAAATGGTGGAGGGGGGAATAAAAGAGCAGGACTGGGATGGCAAGAGGTCACTGCCTATCTTGGCAGAAGAGGACATGCGGGAGATGCCAGGAGCTGCCTACCCTTGCCGGGCTTATTGGCTTGTCACAGGAGCCAGGCACAGAAACTCCAGCCACCTGCTTGGACAAGGCTATGTTCGCCTGGACATCCCTTCAGCTATGGAGAGGCAATTGAGGGGAAGGGACCTGGAGAGATGGGTTGCAGGGACTGAGTTCTTGTGCTCAGTCATACAAGCTTTCTCTAAAAGTGGTGGATCCTGGACCTAAGCTCTCACCTCCTTCCTGCTTTCCAGAACCTGGACTCACTCTCGCCTCCTTCCTGCTTTTCAGAACCTGGACTCTGGAGGGATTCCAATGAAACTCACTGGACTCCCACATTGACAAGGATTCCAGTGAAACTCACTGGACTCCCACATTGACAAGCCATTTAGGGACTGTAGCAGGGGGAAGGCAGAGGGAACTGCTACTATAAATCTAATAAAAACTGACAGGAGTCAAGAAGCTGAGCTGGAGTCCATGGAGTTATTAACAGGGAATACCGGCTGTGCCATCCAGGGGGCTGGTGGGACACACAACAACCCAATGAAAGCGGAGTTATTAACAGGGAACACTGGCTGTGCCATCCAGGGGGCTGGTGGGACACACAACAACCCAATGAAACTGATGGCACTGAGTTGAGTTTCAGTGTGGAGCCCTAGGGCTAAGTAGAAAAGAAGCTCTTGTCCCCAACGGAGTGGGCATAGGAGCAGGAATTTGCTACTTCTCTGTACCCAGTAGGTGCTTTGAGACACTCTTGGGCATAGAGGCAAGCCAGTATTCCTCCCTCTCCTTCCTTTCGTTCAACGCTGATGGAGGCAAGTGGGAACAGGATGGCTTACTCCAGTTTTAATCCCAACAAGCACTCTAAGGTCAGAAGCTCAGTTCTCATGCTGAATGGGAGGCAGAGGTACATCGCCATGCATTCTATTTCTGTACCAAGGCAAGCACCCCCAGCGTAGAGCACCTATCAGGAGGAGGCTTTCACCTGTGGTGCCAGGTTCAGTTTGTGCTCACGCAACAGACTGCAGCTCCTCTTTCGCCATGGTGTTAGGACAGGGGGCAGTACGATGATCAAACCTTGCCTTGTTTCATGGGGGCAGATGAAGCACCGCCCTCACAGACAACATGACTCTGATTAGGAAACACTAGGAACGAATGATCTGGGATGGATGTCTTTTGTATCCTGTTCCATTTTCCAGTTTCTTACGAGTTTGGGTCTAGCAGCAGTTGGGAGCAACACACTGGTTTTCATGTTCCTTTGATATGGTTCAACAAGGCTATCATTATATTTTGCCATTATGACTCATTCTGTTCTCTAGCACCATCCTGAGTCCAGCCTGAAACTGGGGGCACATATATGCAGTATCACAAAGCAATTGGGTACGCGGCTGGAAATTGTGGGTCAGCCCCCATTAATCACCTGGTATTTGTTCCAGATGACATTGTGTGGTTAGCAGTAGTGGTTCCTTTATGGCCTTGATCACAGCGACTCATTTGAGGTGCTGTCATTGGCCTGTTTAAAAAGAGAGACAGAACAGACACAGACAGACCATCAAAAACTCATTCTGGTGGCAACCACTGAATTTGCCATAGAAATGCGAATTTTTGTCACCCATATGCCATCATCAAAGTCAATAACTTGATTTTGGCCACATGTTTCTTCTCACCTGCACAGATTTGGGGAAATTACATTTTGAGATGGAACTGACAAGATTCAGATTTTTTTTAAATTCCAATTTTAGGTTTGCAGAAAGGAATCCTTATTTCATAAGTCAATTGTCCTCGTGATTTTAACTGAAAGTGTATATTTTGATTGTGGGCAGGAACCTAAATAACATGGAATGTGGAATAAATGCTCTCATGCTCTCCATCTCTTGGATCATTTGAAGCCACAGTCACATGAAGTGGGGGGCAGTGGACACTCACCTGGTGAGAACCTCCACGCTGTACAAAAGGGCTTGCAAGGAGGTAGCAAGAGCCGCCGTCGCGGCAATTTCTTCTCGAGCAGCCGTCACTGTCTCCACTTGGGAGGTCTGCCTCTTAAGCCTCTGCAGGTAACAGGGAACCAGGGCTTCGAGGACCATCAGCATCTGAAGACTAAGGCAAGGTGCAACATTTGAAAATGAAATCCAACTTAGAGGTCTCTCTGTTTTCTGAGCGGTTGCCACATTTGTCTGTTTCAGCAACAGAAAAACTCAAATCTGAGGGTTTTTTTCTGGACAAAATCCTGTTGTGTAACTTTGCACCAGTGTATCCTGGCTGGAGCTGTCTGTATCACTCAGTGGTTTGGGAGTTCAATTCCCCACTGCTCCTCCTATGGATCACTCAGTGGTTTGGGAGTTCGATTCCCCACTGCTCCTCCTGCCAGTAAAGCCAGCCAGCCTGTGTGGCCATGGGCAAGCTGCACAGTCGCAGGATGCCCCCACGAGAAGGGAATGGTAAACTACTTCTGAAAACCCTGGAAATGGTCACCATAAGACAGAATGGACTGGTGGCACATGATTATTGTATTATCTGGGATCAGGTACAGGAAGCTTTTAAAGTAATTAAAAGTTTCCTATCACCCTTATTTTAGGTTCCAAGGCTTCCTAGGGCTCCCTTTTGCCTGACAAAGCCTTTAGGAGCTTGAGACAAGGAAGCAAGACTTTAATTGTTAAAAAAAAACTGTTGCCAACTGTCCCAAGTCCTTTAAATTAAATGCTTCTGGCACCATTGTCAAAGATACATCAACAGAATTTTGGCCACTGACTTCAAAGCCAGCGGAGGGGGAGAGGTAAATATAGAACCAGAATGCCAAGCCCTAAATTGATATTTTGGCTCCAGATGGTATATTTTCTCTGCTGGAATTGGTTGGAGTCTTTTAAAAACATATTAAGGGAGATGCTGTATGAATGCATAAGACAGTACACAGAAAGGTCTTTCTCACTTAAAGTCATTAAGATTCACCGAGATATACTGCCAAGTTATTGTCAAAAATCTTATGGAAGTAATAGTCTGATCCTGTGAACTTCCATGAAAAACCTCTTAGGTTGGCCTGCAGCATGCCATATGAAAGCATTTTTTAAAAAGAGGCAATACTTGTTTAAATCACAAGTGAAGTTGTAATCGCATCCATACTAAGCGTTCCCGTTTAAGTCATACTTTCTTCTGTGTTTAGGAACATGTGATTCTGGGTCTTGGCAAATGGATTCAGAAGTTAAACAACAACAAACAAATGAAAGCCCAAATACATGTTACCTTCTGAAAGATTCAGGGGCATATGCCACCACTGTCACACACAACTTGATGGATTCACTGATGGAAAAGGTCAGGTCCTCATTGCCATAGCAGAAATCTGAAAAGAGGGAAAAGCTGAATACTAACTGGGTGGACATATTGGAGACATGTTCAAGACATCAATTACATCTTGTGAAAAAGCTGAGAAACTGGGGGAACATGGAATCTATTTGGAACATCCAAGGCTTCTCTGTCAGTGCCTGGGAACGGCTGGCTGGGAATCAGGGGTGGGGTGGGCAGTGTCTCCCCAATAATGAGAAGGGAGTAACAGCTGCAGTAACAGCTGCAATTTATCTCTTGTGACAGGGGCTTTCAAGGCCTAATCAGCTTCTTCCCTGGTACTGTACTAACTGGAAAATTATGTCAGCTGTATGAAGGGAGGAGGCAGAAAGTACTCTTGTCTTCATGACTATTTGAGGGAACTCAAATCCTGATTGGCAGATTATCTGGAAGGATGCAGAATGTGACCTTTAATGTGTAAAAAGGGATCCAAAAGTTAGTTTGGTTGGCTTAGCTTACCTCTTAGGAAATGCTATGCTCAGTTGCTGTCCTGTCATGCCTTGCCTGGAAGGATGCACTTTGGGTATGCTTCAAAACTATGGTGACTACACAAATGCATTGGATAGATTAGATTAACTTTTTCTGAAGTGTTCTCTTGATTACCTCGGCTTTTGTCTCCAATTGCCTTTTTTGCTCCAAGTACTTTGTGAAGCTTTTGGAACTTTTGCCTTGCCCCTCCTTTTCATTAAATAAGATATAAAAACCTCTCCAACCTTCTGGGGTTTTGGCTGAGAGGATTTGTGTTACTAATACCAGGTTTTGCCTTGACCACCTACTGGGAGTTTTGGTATTTGTGAAGAAGTGCCAGCTGAGGCAAACTAACAAATAAGGGTTGGCTGACTGAGGGAAAATTGAAGCCCATCTGCCCTGTAGGTCCCTGCCTGAACCCTTTTACAGTATTTGCTATTTAATTAGAGGAAAGTTGTTTATTTATTTGAGACCACAAAATTCCTCGCACACTCTGCCCCCATAAGATTTCTTTCATA